TTTTCAAATCAACTAGGATTTTCATCAAACTATACAGCTATCTTAGTAATATATTGATCTTACTAAATCATAGGTCATTATGTAGTTTGATGTATTGCTGTCAAATTTAAGGATTAAATTAATCTAGGTCCAAAAACCTTGAATTTGCAGTTCGGACTTTATTCAGATAGTACACTTTAAATCTTTTTATAACTTTTTCAAATCAACTTGGATTTTCATCAAACTATACAGCTATCTTGGTAACATATTGATCTTACTGAATCAAAGGTCATTATGTAGTTTGGTGTATTGCTGTCAAATTTAATCTAGGTAAAAAAAGCTAGAATTTGCAATTTTGGACAAAATTCAGCATTTGGGATAGTACACTTTAATTTTTTTTATAACTTTTTCAAATCAACTTGGATTTTCATCAAACTATGCAGCTATATTAGTAATATATTGATCTTACTGAATCACAGGTCATTATGTAGTTTGGTGTGTTGCTTACAACTTTCTAGGTAAAAAAAGATTGAATTTGCAGTTCGGACTATATTCAGATAGTACACTTTAATTTTTTTTATAACTTTTTCAAATCAACTAGGATTTTCATCAAACTATACAGCTATCTTAGTAATATATTGATCTTACTAAATCATAGGTCATTATGTAGATTGGTGTACTGCTGTCAAATTTAAGGATTAAATTAATCTAGGTCCAAAAAGCTTGAATTTGCAGTTTGGACTATATTCAGATAGTACACTTTAAATCTTTTTATAACTTTTTCAAATCAACTTGGATTTTCATTAAACTATACAGGTATCTTGGTCACATATTGATCTTACTGAATCAAAGGTCATTATGTAGTTTGGTGTATTGCTGTCAAATTTAATCTAGGTCAAAAAAGCTAGGATTTGCAATTTTGGACAAAATTCAGCATTTGAGATAGTACACTTTAATTTTTTTTATAACTTTTTTAAATCAACTTGGATTTTCATCAAACTATGCAGCTATATTAGTAATATATTGATCTTACTGAATCACAGGTCATTTTGTAGTTTGGTGTGTTGCTTACAAATTTCTAGGTAAAAAAAGATTGAATTTGCAGTTCGGACTATATTCAGATAGTACACTTTAATTTTTTTTATAACTTCTTCAAATCAACTAGGATTTTCATCAAACTATACAGCTATCTTAGTAATATATTGATCTTACTAAATCATAGGTCATTATGTAGTTTGGTGTATTGCTGTCAAATTTAAGGATTAAATCAATCTAGGTCCAAAAAGCTTGAATTTGCAGTTCCGACTATATTCAGATAGTACACTTTAAATCTTTTTATAACTTTTTCAAATCAACTTGGATTTTCATCAAACTATACAGCTATCTTGGTAACATATTGATCTTACTGAATCAAAGGTCATTATGGAGTTTGGTGTATTGCTGTCAAATTTAATCTAGGTCAAAAAAGCTAGGATTTGCAATTTTGGACAAAATTCAGCATTTGAGATAGTACACTTTAATTTTTTTTATAACTTTTTCAAATCAACTTGGATTTTCATCAAACTATGCAGCTATATTAGTAATATATTGATCTGACTGAATCACAGGTCATTATGTAGTTTGGTGTGTTGCTTACAACTTTCTAGGTAAAAAAAGATTGAATTTGCAGTTCGGACTATATTCAGATAGTACACTTTAATTTTTTTTATAACTTTTTCAAATCAACTAGGATTTTCATCACACTATACAGCTATCTTAGTAATATATTGATCTTACTAAATCATAGCTCATTATGAAGTTTGGTGTATTGCTGTCAAATTTAAGGATTAAATTAATCTAGGTCCAAAAAGCTTGAATTTGCAGTTCGAACTATATTCAGATTGTACACTTTAAATCTTTTTATAACTTTTTCAAATCAACTTGGATTTTCATCATACTATGCAGCTATATTAGTAACATATTGATCTTACTGAATCACGGGTCATTATGTAGTTTGGTGTGTTGCTTACAAATTTCTAGGTAAAAAAAGACTGAATTTGCAGTTCGGACTATATTCAGATAGTACACTTAAATTTTTTTCATAACTTTTTCAAATCAACTAGGATCTTCATCAAACTATACAGCTATCTTAGTAATATATTGGTCTTACTAAATCATAGGTCATTATGTAGTTTGGTGTATTGCTGTCAAATTGAAGGATTAAATTAATCTTGGTCCAAAAAGCTTGAATTTGCAGTTCGGAATATATTCAGATAGTACACTTTAAATCTTTTTATAACTTTTTCAAATCAACTTGGATTTTCATCAAACTATACAGCTATCTTGGTAACATATTGATCTCACTGAATCAAAGGTCATTATGTAGTTTCGTGTATTGCTGTCAAATTTAATCTAGGTCAAAAAAGCTAGGATTTGCAATTTTGGACAAAATTCAGCATATCAGATAGTACACTTTAATTTTTTTTATAACTTTTTCAAATCAACTTGGATTTTCATCAAACTATGCAGCTATATTAGTAATATATTGATCTTACTGAATCACAGGTCATTTTGTAGTTTGGTGTGTTGCTTACAAATTTCTAGGTAAAAAAAGATTGAATTTGCAGTTCGGACTATATTCAGATAGTACACTTTAATTTTTTTTATAACTTCTTCAAATCAACTAGGATTTTCATCAAACTATACAGCTATCTTAGTAATATATTGATCTTACTAAATCATAGGTCATTATGTAGTTTGGTGTATTGCTGTCAAATTTAAGGATTAAATCAATCTAGGTCCAAAAAGCTTGAATTTGCAGTTCCGACTATATTCAGATAGTACACTTTAAATCTTGTTATAACTTTTTCAAATCAACTTGGATTTTCATCAAACTATACAGCTATCTTGGTAACATATTGGTCTTACTGAATCAAAGGTCATTATGGAGTTTGGTGTATTGCTGTCAAATTTAATCTAGGTCAAAAAAGCTAGGATTTGCAATTTTGGACAAAAATCAGCATTTGAGATAGTACACTTTAATTTTTTTTATAACTTTTTCAAATCAACTTGGATTTTCATCAAACTATGCAGCTATATTAGTAATATATTGATCTGACTGAATCACAGGTCATTATGTAGTTTGGTGTGTTGCTTACAACTTTCTAGGTAAAAAAAGATTGAATTTGCAGTTCGGACTATATTCAGATAGTACACTTTAATTTTTTTTATAACTTTTTCAAATCAACTAGGATTTTCATCACACTATACAGCTATCTTAGTAATATATTGATCTTACTAAATCATAGCTCATTATGAAGTTTGGTGTATTGCTGTCAAATTTAAGGATTAAATTAATCTAGGTCCAAAAAGCTTGAATTTGCAGTTCGAACTATATTCAGATTGTACACTTTAAATCTTTTTATAACTTTTTCAAATCAACTTGGATTTTCATCATACTATGCAGCTATATTAGTAACATATTGATCTTACTGAATCACGGGTCATTATGTAGTTTGGTGTGTTGCTTACAAATTTCTAGGTAAAAAAAGACTGAATTTGCAGTTCGGACTATATTCAGATAGTACACTTAAATTTTTTTCATAACTTTTTCAAATCAACTAGGATCTTCATCAAACTATACAGCTATCTTAGTAATATATTGGTCTTACTAAATCATAGGTCATTATGTAGTTTGGTGTATTGCTGTCAAATTGAAGGATTAAATTAATCTTGGTCCAAAAAGCTTGAATTTGCAGTTCGGAATATATTCAGATAGTACACTTTAAATCTTTTTCATAACTTTTTCAAATCAACTAGGATCTTCATCAAACTATACAGCTATCTTAGTAATATATTGGTCTTACTAAATCATAGGTCATTATGTAGTTTGGTGTATTGCTGTCAAATTGAAGGATTAAATTAATCTTGGTCCAAAAAGCTTGAATTTGCAGTTCGGAATATATTCAGATAGTACACTTTAAATCTTTTTATAACTTTTTCAAATCAACTTGGATTTTCATCAAACTATACAGCTATCTTGGTAACATATTGATCTCACTGAATCAAAGGTCATTATGTAGTTTGGTGTATTGCTGTCAAATTTAATCTAGGTCAAAAAAGCTAGGATTTGCAATTTTGGACAAAATTCAGCATATCAGATAGTACACTTTAATTTTTTTTATAACTTTTTCAAATCAACTTGGATTTTCATCAAACTATGCAGCTATATTAGTAATATATTGATCTTACTGAATCACAGGTCGTTATGTAGTTTGGTGTGTTGCTTACAAATTTCTAGGTAAAAAAAGATTGAATTTGCAGTTCGGACTATATTCAGATAGTACACTTTAATTTTTTTTATAACTTTTTCATATCAACTAGGATCTTCATTAAACTATACAGCTATCTTAGTAATATATTGATCTTACTTAATCATAGGTCATTATGTACACTCATGAAAAAATGGTGTCTGAATTCTGTCTGACAAGTATTCTTAATTTTTCTGATTTTTTTCTGAATAATGTCTGAATGGCTGTAATAATGTACATTTACGCAAATATCTGAATTTTTGCTGGATTTCGGACTTTTAAGGAAAAATTCAGAACTTTCATACGAACATTCAGACAAAAATCAGAATAGCATTCAGACAAAAATCAGAATAATGTAAGAATAAATTAAGACATTATTCAGAATGAATTCAGAAAACTTCTGAACTTAATCAGAAAGATTAAGAAATAATCAGACAACATTCAGGAATATCCAGACAATATTCAGATGGATTCAGACAGATTCAGAAGGATTTAGATATATTCAGAAAACATTCAGAATGATTCAAAATGTGGATATCCATACAAAACTTTGAAACTTATACAACAGAAATTCCCCTAAAAACCTAAAAAGAAGTTCTTGAAGTTGAATGAAAATCAATGTGCTTACACATTGATGATGGTCAAATACCCATAGCCTCAAAACAATAATAAAAAAATCCAAATTTTCAGGAAGTTTGTAAATTAATTGATTCAATAACATAAAATTCAAACTTTAAATTTTCGATTCAATTTTATTATCTGATATGGATCTGTGATTCCCTGGTCTGTTCTTTTCCTGCCTCTCTGAGTCTCCAGCTCTCTTTTCTTTATGAGTAAATTCCCTTCAAAATAGAACGGGATCATTTCACATAAAAAATTATATTAAGTAGGTGCAGGTATCTTGTGACCTGAGTAAATAAACTAGAGGCTCTCAAGAGCCTGTGTCGCTCACCTGACTCTAATTAGGTTTTTGAAATCGTATAAAAAAAGATAAAAATCATAACAGATACTTAAATATTGATAGAGGCCAAATTTGGTTTAATATTGCATTCCATTCTGTGGTTCTCTAAAATAAGACATTTGTATTTATTTCTCATAGGGTCTTATGTTAAGCTAAGTCCCCCGCTGGCAGCCATCTTGGATAATGGATCGGCTACAAAGTAACAACACTTGGTCACCACCTCACAAGGAACATTCGTGCTATGTTTGGTTTCATTTATTCAGTAGTTCTCTAAAAGAAGACATTTGAATGTATTTTCCATAGGGTCCTATGTTAAACTAAGTCCCCTGCTGGCAGCCATCTTGGTTGATTGATCATCTACAAAGTAACACTTGGTCAGCAGCTCATAAGAAACATTCATGCTATGTTTGGTTTCATTCTATTTAGTGTTTTTTTATAAGAAGACATTTGTATGCATTTCCCATAGGGTCCTATGTTAAAGTAGGTCCCCCGCTGGCGGCCATCTTGGATGATGGATCGGCTACAAAGTAACAACACTTGGTTAGCATCTCATAAGAAACATTTATGGCTTTTTTATGCTATGTTTAGTATCATTCCATTCAGTGGTTCTCTAAAAGAGGACATTTGTATGTATTTCCCATTGGGTCCTATGTTAAACTAAGTCCCACGCTGGCGGCCATCTTGGATGATGGATCGGTTACAAAGTAACAACACTTGGTCAACACCTCATAAGGAACATTCATGCTATGTTTGGTTCCATTCCATTCAGTGGTTCTCTAAAAGAAGACATTTGTATGTATTTCCCATAGGGTTATATGTTAAACTAAGTCCCCTGCTGGTGGCCATCTTGGATGATTGATCGGCTACAAAGTAACAACACTTGGTCAGCACTTCATAAGGAACATTCATGCCATGTTTGGTTTCATTCCATGCAGTGGTTCTCTAAAAGAAGACATTTGTATGCATTTCTCATAGGGTCCTATGTTAAACTAAGTCCCCCGCTGGCGGCCATCTTGGATGATGGATCGGCTACAAAGTAACAACACTTGGTCAACACCTCATAAGGAACATTCATGCCATGTTTGGTTCCATTCCATTCAGTGGTTCTCTAGAAGAAGTTCAAAATGTAAAAAGTTAACAACGACGACGGACTTCGGGCCAGGTGAGGTAAAAACAAGCTAATAAAAGAACAGAATTCCAATGTCCCCTGTGTTGCATATGATTGTCTTGTCTGCCCAGGGACTAAAATTCCACAAATTCTTGTTTGAACTGTTAGTAATTCTCTATAATATTTCTTTCTATTTCCATAAATCCAAATCTTGACATTGATGATGTAAGCCATTGATATACATTTTATAAAAATCTGGCATAAATTGTACATATGAGTGCTATTTTCTATATTAAATTAACATTTCTAAGAGACTTAACTCCTGTTAAAATAATTCATAACCTCTGATATTTTGACTTGTCCCATATATACATGTATTGCTTATACAAATTTATAGTACAATGTATTAGTTTTCAATGTATATGCAAAAAATGTAGGAATTCATTATTTCAAATATATTTGGAATTCTAGTGCTTTATATTGTCATGTGTAATGAATGTGTCAGCGTTATAGCTAAATTTAAGGTATTGGCTTTGCTTGTTGTTAAATTTAAAGGCTGTATGGTGACCTATAGCTATTATTGCTCTCATCTACATTTGTAAAGCATTTATATAGTACATGTAGATAGTTGTCTCATTGGAAAACATACCACACTTCCAGCTTATTTTTATACTATTAAAACTAAAGCATGTACATACAAGATACTGTTGATCTGCACCATTTTTCTTTTTAATAGTTCTGTTGAAAATCATGAACATAAATTAAGTCATAAGTCTCGTTCACTGACGTCTGAGGAGCCAATTCTAAAAATTAAATATAAGTATCAATACCGAGACCTAAATTTATGAATTCTTATAAAATATTCATCAGTTGTCAAAGTGAAAATCAAAAAGAGCCATCAGAAAACACTTTATTAAAATTTGATGGATTATGTTTTTTTTTGAAAGATATTGGAAATAATCAATTAAAGTTTTATCAGTGCTGATTGAAAACAAAAAGTGTCTTACGCCCCTTTGCTTGGAACCGAACAGCCCATACTGTGATTTTAAATAGAATAACGCACAAGTAACATGTGCAACTAATTTATATAATCGAAGGTAAGTTGACATCAAAGTGAAGTATTTGCGACTGGATGTAAAGCAAAAAATCATCAATTTAATATTTTTTCCAAAATTAACCATTTTTAGTGTAAGTATAGTTAGGAGAATTATTTTTTACAAAGTTTTCATTGTTTTACCAGTTCTATTTTCATAGAGCTTACGCTATATGATTTTGGCACTAATATACTCATTGACTATGCCAAGGTGAAAAAATGAATATTTGTATATTCTTATAAATTGTAAGGTTGCTGTGATTTATTTTGTGTCTCTTCTGTGTCATTCTTACCTCAAAACAATTGGTATTTTTCCACATTATCATAAACACAATGATGCAGATCATCTTTCATCTAACTTCAAACGGCCCAGTTCTTTTAAAAGAAGTGAATATTGTTTTTTATTGGTATAAAAATTGATTTTGTTATCAATTAATTAAAACCATACTAAATATTATTTTTAAACACATGCACATTTAACTTAAGCTACAACAATCTCTTCAATCATATGTATGTTCTCTATAAAATAGTATGTGTGGTTCCAGTTACATCTAAAAAAAAAGTTAGGGTAGGTAGGTAGGGATTTAATAGCCTATCATATTCCTTGTGCCTGTACCAAGTCAGGAGCATGTAATTGAGTGGTTGTTGTGTTTTGCTGTTTGTCATATTTGTTTTTCTTTTAATGTTTTGCATAGTTTGTTCGAATATTGTGCCACAACACCACTGTCCCGGTTGGTGCAATCAAATTTAGTTTAACTCCACATTCTATATGTGCCTGTCCAAAGTCAGGAGGAGCCTGTAGTTCAGTGGTTGTTGTTGTTTCATGTACTGTCATGCAATATCTCTTGTTTTCGTTAATTGTTTTGTAATTGGACTTTTAATTTTCTCAATTGAATTGTTTCATATTTTTCTTGTCAGTACCGATTAAAGCCGTCCATACATAGTATAGGTTTGCCTCATAGTTAAAAAGTGACAAACAAATTTTACAGGAACCTTTGTAATTTCCAGTCATGGTGGATAAATAGCTATAAGTTCAATGTATGGTCCACACACAGGTCACAAAAATAAGAAAAATAGGAAGTGCATAATGACATACTTGTATTTAGTCTTAGACATGTTAGATGCATGATTATTTTTATTAGTTGTTAGTGGCTTTGAACTAGCTGTCAGTTTATATTTCAAGTACTTTCAGATCAGTATTTAGACCCGGCCACGTCCACTCTATGTTTTTGTTAGATGTATTTTATTTGTATCCATGTGATGAGTTAAGCGCCTTTTTCAAGGCCTAAGGCCGTTTGTTTTCTCATTTGAATTGTTTTACATTTGTCATTTCGGGGCCTTTTATAGCCGACTATGTGGTATGGGCATTGCTCATTGTTGAAGGCTGTACGGTGACCTATAGTTGTTAATTTTTGTGTCATTTGGTCTCTTGTGGAGAGTTGTCTCATTGGCAATCATACCACATCTTTTTTTATATACACCTTATCCCTATTCCCGGCTGACCCGAGAATCTGTCCTGCTTGAACTATTGACGTCATATTCCATTGTGGCGTCATATATTTTGTTTTATGACGTCAAAATTTTACGGGGAACCTGTGTGAAGTCCAGTAGTGGCGGACAAATAATGATAAGGTGTATTGTAATTAAAATACTGTAAATTCAGAAATTATTGCGTGCATTTATTATTGAGATATTGTCATTTTAACTAAAGTGCGATTTTTTAATTTTGCGATATTAAGACAAATCCTGTTTACTTCATATACAAAATTTCAAAATCATTAATGCGATTTTAAATTATTGCGATTACAACCCTGTCGCATTTTTCGGAATAATAAAAACATCGCATTAATTTCTGAATTAATAGTAATACTTTTTGTGAAATCTTTATTAAAAATCAGTACATTGTCATTGACCTATTCAGGCTATTGTTCCTTACTTTGATGTCATTTGGTCTCCAGTAGCAGTGAAGAATTGTCTCATTGGCAATCAAACCGGATCTTCTTATTTTTATATTGACATTATTGTATATTAACTATTGTAGTCGTAGAGGGTGGTAAAGGGTTATTTTTGTGAAACATGTTTTGCCATTTTTATTTCACGTGCAGCTGTGAAAAAGGTTTGTTATTCACCGTGTTTCGTGAAATCGGTAAAAAGATCAACGTGCAAGAAATTTTTAATTGTTCGTTCATCGTGAAATGGTGATTTTATTTTGCGTTCTTCCGTGCAGATACCCACCCCCCTTTAACGCCCCTCATTGAATGGTAAGTTCAATTTCATTGCTTTTCTGTGACACCTTGCTTCCGCTCAGCAAGATTTGGACTATGTTTACCCATATTATATTACATGTTGTTTTGAATTTTGCATTGAATAAATATTTTATAATCTGACTGACTGTATAAGCCATTAAGGGAACGACCATTCAATATTCTGTTACAGGAGGAGGCAGGATGAATTTTGGAATATTTATTTTGTGATTCCTGATTGTTTTATTTTTTTGTTGTAAAAAAAAATATTTTCACACATATTAAAGTCTTAAATATCTTTTATTTTGGTGGGTAAAATAATTTTTCATTCTGATATCTTTAAGGGCAAGGCAAGATTATTCATTTTCCAAATCCACTGCTCCCACCCACAATATTAAATGGCCGTTTCCAAATAAAAAAAACTGTCATTGAAATGGACTCATACCCGTTCAGGTTGGCGTTTCGTTGGGGACATCATTATTGACATTGTTCTTAGCCTGTGCAGGCTGTGGTGGATAGTTGTGATCAGTTGTATGTGCGGTTGGATTGACACTGACAGTTCACAAGTTGTAGTCAATTTTCTGGGCAAGTTGAAAACCATCTTCTGAATGGCAGACCACATCTTTTCCTATGATTATGAAGCTGTTATATACAAAGGTTCTTGTTTATCTGTTCTGCAGCGTTCTTTCGTCGTCTGCGTCACAAGATTTAGATCTCAGCAGTGTTTTAACATGAAAACCGACTCCGAATCATTTTCCGGATTGTAGACTTTTACGCTCACCGATTACTATTAAATCGTCGGGAATAAATAAATCGTACAAGGAAAATCTTACCTAATTTCTGAATCTAATATAATACACGTGTTATAGAAGTCTTAGCTTACTTGTATGATTAATTTGTGGAGGTTTTCAAGCAATTTACTATTAATATCCGTCTACTAGTACTACTGAAATTTTCAGTATACAGATATGGATAGTTAATTAACCGACGTTATATACGTTTATAATGTATTAACTGGGACTATTATACTAACTGTTCTTCTTTTTCCGAATACGGGAGTAGAGTCCTAGGTGGGAGTGTAAAACTTCCCGGAACCTATGTGCTATGTACATATGGACTTAATTAAAATTAATATAATAAGGAAAAATAGTTAACAATAACATATATATATATATATATATATATATATACATTATGTACAGTGGCATGGTAGTTTAATAAGTTGTTGTGGGTCCTTCAAATGTTATTGTAATAGTCCTAGGTATTTACCACAGACGTATTTTACGTAGGAAGTTATACAAATGGACAGGAAAAACAGGATTTTTTTAGGCATTTATCATAAAAACAATTAACCTGCTAACCGAGTTTCTGTGAGAAAAACGGCCTGGAGTCCGAACATCAAATCTGGTTGGGTACCAAATCGTTTGTATAGACTGTCCCTGTGCGAACTGATCGTATATAATCCACTTTATAATAAAAGGCAACTTTTAAAAACGTCATCATCTTTTCCCTATTGGAGCCTCAACGATAATTGATTCCTGTCAATCAAGTAAACATTTAACCCGGTATCTTAATTTCCCACCAATCTTACCTCGTGCAGTCTACACGCTTTTGTATTTCGATGTCAGTTATGTTTAACATTTCTATTTTGAAAGCGATGTCAAGTCCCAATGCTCAAGCAGTTGAATGTATAATTTATGCAATACACAAATCGTATCAAAAACGAAATTTTTGTAAGCGATGTAAAGTTAGTTGATAGCATAATTTCTGCAATAAATATTACCTTTTAAAAACGGAAATGACTTATACTTAGTAGATCAATGATTAAAATTTTGATCTTTTTGGGAATTTTCAAACTTGTCGGTGAAAAAACCCAATGAATAACGGGCGATCTGAATCTGATGAAAACTGTTTGTTATTCACCCAAACTTTTATATTTGTTGAATTTATTGAAAACAAAACATTGCTGATGAAAGCAGTGCCGAAATTTTTCTTTAAAAAAAGAAATACGATATTGGAATGTTATCAGTGAAACTTGGCTTACACTTTTTATCTCATGATCTAGAAATAGCAGTAGAAAAAATTCCGTAATTTTACTAATAAAGGAGCTATTATTTGATGTTTAGGGGAGGGTTAGGATGGAATTTGAAAAAAAGAGTTTTGAGCACAAAAAAAGACACGATGAGCAACTTGGCAAAAAAAGGCAGGACGAAAATTTATACAAAAATTCAGGATAAGAAAATGGCAGGACTGATGATCACTGATTAGATCGAAAATAAGTATTCAGGACGGAGATTACAACTAAATAAAATGCAGGACAACATTTTTCATCCTAGCCCCACCCCCACCCCTAATAATCAAATAGTAACTCCATATATACTGTGCCGCTTTCAATGGGTATCTTTCAATTAGATCGGATCCAAATTGTATATATGTGATAATCTGGGAACTATGTTCCTGGTGATAACTAAGAAATAAATGAATGACGATGAACGCGGTTTTTAATACCAGCAGCACCTCTGTACCTAAATTGGGTCACTTCTTAGGAATTTCGAATATATCAATGGGGTCCTATTTCACGGATCAACGTGTTTGTTAAATGCAATGAAACAGATATAATTGCTAAGAACGACTTTTCTCTTTGTTTTATATACAAAATGGCATTCCTTTTATTCAGTTATCCTTGATATTTTTGCACATCGAAAATTTCGTTATACACAGGAATACAGAAACGATAAAACATTCCTACAGTTTCGTCTCTCCTTGAAGAAACAAAAAATCGAGACATATATATAGGTGTGCTGTTTCCGGCATCAACGGCGGCAGTGGCTTTGAACGTATTACAAGTTAATTTGTGACTGTGAAACTTTTGCTTAGTTTACATGTATTAGTTTGATAAGGTCAGTTTATGGGGAACCACTAGTGGTAGGTCAATGATATTTGGTATGCAGTTAAACTAGCATTGGTGCATTTCATTTCCATGGAAATTATTTGACCCTGTACCCTCTGTCATAGTCTATTGACTTTGAAACTTTTGCTAAGTCTTCATGTATTAGTTTGTGATTAGGTCAGTTTATGGGGAACAACTTGTTGAACTAGCATACTAGTACATACATCCTCATTTCCATTGTGATTATTTGACCCTACCCCCTCAGTCATGGTCTATAGATTTTGAAACTATTGCTTAGTTTACAACTGTATTAGTTTGTGATAAGGTCAATTAATGCATGGGGAACGTATTGTGATATGTCAATGATATTTGGTATGCAGTTTAACTGGTATTGGTACATCTCATTTCCATGGAGATAATCTGACCCTGCTCCATCTGTCATGGTCTATTGATAATTGGTATGCAAATTATTTATTAGCATTGGCACATTTCATTTCCATGGAGATTGTTTGGCCCTGTACCTTCAGTCATGGTTCATTGACTTTGAATATTTTGTATTACTTACATATTAAACTATTACTATTTTGATTTCAACATTTGCATTTTAGTGTCAACATAACAGAAAGGTTAGTCATCTCTGTGTCAACAATTTATTAAACATAGTTCTGACACATTTAGAAAAATTAAGACATTTTTCAGAAATTCTGA